TTTCCCTCCTCCTCCTCCCTCTGAGGTCTTTCCTGGGAGGTTCGCTGCTGCCCTTTGCAAGGCAGCCCTGAGCCACTGAGGCCCCTTTGCTGATCGGCTCACAGGCTGCGTCTGAATCGTTTCTCCCTTCATTCCTTTCGGCAGTTGGCCAAGGCTTCCTCTGTGTGTGTCGGGGGCTAGTGACAAGGACTAGCTTGTGACCTTGACAGGTAACCTCTAGGCTTGGTTTCCTAGGAGAGGGTTGGACCAGCCCTTAACTAAATTTCCTGTGGCCCAGAAGTTGCCTCCCAACGAAGGGGGCATTTTTAGACCTCCCCTCGGGTACACCAGTGGCTGGAGCATGAGGCAGAGCTGCAGGGCAGGGGTCTCTCCGGCCCTCCTGGTTTGAGACGTGCGCTAGACGTGCTCTGCCATCTTCTCCTTTCTGGTTTGATCCAAACAAGCCCCTGGAGGAGGTCAGTGGTGCTCCACGCCAGTGGCACAGAAGGTGAAAATTTCTCCTTTGTCCATTTTGTCTTCACTTTCTTAGTCTACAGAATTGCTTAATTGCTTCATCTTAAAAGTGAGGTGGGGTTGAGGGGAGTGGCCCTAAGGCCTGTGGAATGGAACCCAGACAGGCAAATCCACCCCCACTGAGAATTGTTGGCAGTAGCTTCCTGCCTCTCAGCTGGCGTATGCCAAACCCAGTGGGCAACTGGCGGCCTTTGACCTTTCACAACACCCTTGTTATTTTTGAGCAGGTAAGGGGGGAAAAAAAAAACTATAACAACCATTCTTCTACGTAAAATCGGAAAAGCTTTTTAATTGGCTAAGAAATAGCCAAAGCTATTAAACACAGCTACCATCCAAAGGGATGAGTAACCGATAACTCTAGCAAAGAATAACAAAAGAGATTCAAAACCAAAAATAAAACCTACCAGGATTTATGTTGGCCTTGGGGAGGATGTGTTTCCTGATGATGAAGTCTTTGCTGAGAACATTTTTGCCACTTCCCTTTAGGAATGGTTTTCAGAAGGATACACACACACACACACACACACACACACACACACACACACACACACAATACCAGAAGACTGACCTCATTCCTTATATAGTCATAACTTATGCTTCACTCCAGATGGTAAAATCCAGCTTGATTCAGCCTCCTTGCTCACCAGACTTGGTTGCTTTCCCAAATCAATGCATCCTCAGAGTAAGCCAAGTTGCTACCAATCAGGATACTCAAAAGGAAGCAATTGCCAGATGGTTGGGAAGTGGCTGGAGCGGGGGGTAGGGGGCCAGCAACGAGAAATGTCTGGCCTAACATGGTGAGTGCAGTAGCCAGTGGCATGTGTTCGGGCTCAGACATCCCTCACATTCCCTTTCGGGCTCACCTCTCACTATGACAAAAATTCTGAAGCACAGGTCAAATCATTTTAACAGTCAAGAGCATTAATCCTTAATATTTGACTTTTGGATGCCTTTAGGGGTGAGTAGTAGCAGATCTAGCCATGATTATGTTTGGCTTGGGTTGACAGTAGTGAAAATAAGTTTATATTCACTGAACGTGCATCAGATGGAGCTGGGCTGGAGTTTATTTGATGTGCCCCCCTTTCCGAGCCCGCAGAACTTACCGACTTGGATACTAGCGCATGAGAAACAGCCGTTTGGAGAGCTGCTTTTGGAGTGGAGGTGACCGGTTTTCAGTTTTTTAAATCATTTCCTGACATTGGAAACTACTGTTCAGATTGCATCCTTGCCTTGCTTGAAGCTGGAACACAGACACGCCACCATCCTTACCAACACAGATATGTATCTTCCCAGAACCAAGGACCAGCCTCAAAGCTTCCAGGTTTAGCCTGGGAAGTGGAATCCATGCTCCCGAGGGCTCCCTGCCCTGGACACTGTTGCTTTCCGTTCAGTTCCTTAGCCTCCTGGGAGCACTGCTGCTCTATTTCACCCTGGCTCCTGTGCGATTTTTATCTCCCTCCGATAGCTGCAGCTGTAACGTTTGCAAAAAGACTTCAATAACAAGGAGAACTAAATAATCCAAGCAAGAATGGCATTAAAACAGACCTAGTTTCTCAAAGTCGAGTTTTCTTTGGGTCTGTGCATGACTAGATCACTGGTTGAAGCCTGGGGGATTGTGGGTTTAGTTTTACAGAAAGAGGCGGCCATACACAGCTGTGCTCTGGGCTAACAGGAACAGTGGAACCAGGAAAAGCCTGCAAGGTACCGGGTGGTACTCTTGAGCCCCAGCTTAGCAGCAGTGGCAGGCCCTGTGCGAGGGGGTTTTCAGACAGACCCAAAGAAGGAGCTTCTCTTGAGTGAAGGGTGATACATGAGATCCCCACACCCCGTCACGCACACACTCCATCCCCTCCCTGCTCTGCGGTGACAGCCTTCTGTCCTACAGCTGTGGTGGCCTCGCTTCACCTGAGAAATAAACATGTGACTGCATAGGTTTTTAACCAGATGTACTTGAAGTTCAAATCACTGGGCAGTCTGGAAGTTCCAAATCAGTGACTCTCTGATTGCAGGACTTAATTCACATGAAGTTCAATTCCAGTAAACGATACTAGTGAACACTACCAGTAGACCCCTGTTACAACAAAGATACTGTAGTCTCTTGTGCTGCTGCTTCTTTAAGATAGATTTACTCAGATGAGTTGGGTTGTAATTAGACATGTGAAACATTTAGCTCTATCATTCCTCCTCTGTCCTTTTCCTTTAGAACTCATGAAAATAAAAAATTGAAAATATCCTTTATTTCTAGGGTTCTTGATTCTCTTAAGACTTTGGGGCTGGACTGGGAAACAAAAGAGGTAAGACTGAAATAACAGAATCCTAAACAGACCTTTGACCAGGACTCTGATAAACAAAGCAATGAGTGATACCAGCTAATGTGCTTTACAGTGTAAAGCCATTGCTTTGTACTTAGTCAGAGAATCCCGCAGACTTCTCTGTAGTGGTACGGGCTGGAAACACTTTCAGGAAGTCTTCCTGTCCCCCCACCCCTTAACATCCTTGCAGATTTCCTTAATGCGGCTTCCAGCCTTACCACAGCCAAAGTTCCCCCTTTACCCCACCCGTACGTTTTGAAATTATTTTGTCTACATAATTATTTGGGCTTTTCTCACTTTTTATAGATCAAAACCCAAACTGCATATAAATGACACTTCAGTTTTTAAAAGAACAGAAAGCATAACTGCTCATCTCTGCTAACAAGTACTACCAGATAGTCCGTAACACTAAGCTGATTGAATTCCCGTCTTAGGCAGAGATGCTCGATTTAGGTTGCTGTGCACTCTTGGTATGGCTATGGGATAGACGGTTACCTTGGGGCTTTTTTGACTATTTGAAAATGGCTCACGGGGTCCTATGGGGTGAACCTCTGGGTCCCGGGGGCTCTCGGAAGGGACCACTACCATACAATCACTTCCTGGAACAGATTCTGTACC